TATATATGTGAATTTATATGCATATATTAATTTAAATACATGTAGATGAATATTTGGATATTTAATAATATTTTTGAATGATGAGTCAACAGTTTTTTTGATGAGTCAACAGTTTTTTTTGCTGAGTCAGCAGTTTTTTGCTGAGTTAGCAGTTGCGTTTGTTTGATTTGGAAAAAATTTAAAAGTCTGGGTATTTATATGGGAGTTTTGAAAAATTCAGGTATTTATATGACAATTTTATAATTCGGATATTTATTTGGGATTTTTATAAAAGTTCGAGTATTTTTATGCGATTATCCCTAAAAATAATAAATAAAAAAAGAATAACCAAATCCTCACCTTCTAATAATAACAAAAAGAAGTGAAACGATCATAAAAACATGTGTTGGTCATATGCACAGATATAAAACAAAAAAAGAATTATAACTAATATTACACTAGCAAGAAGTATACAAAAATTCTCTTATTTTCCTCACAACAACAATATATGAGTATATATTTTATTACACTGACAGCTTCAACTCTAATATGGTTATCCCTGGAAAATTGAGAAGAATATTCAGAACGTATGAAATGGAAGCAGTACCATCGTTTCAAATATATCTTCGCTCCTTCCCATTTATTTCATTTTCCTTCCAAATGGTTGACCTCATGTCACCTCTGGCATAGCTCTTTGTTTTCTTCAGCTGTCAAACCATGGGTGCAGACCGTGAAATCAAGCATATTTTGTTGGGTTATATACATAAAGATTCTTTTTCACCAAATCGGTAGAGACATAATAGCGGAAATTTATTAATCATCATTATTAAATTAATATATTTAATAATTATATATAGATTAGATTAGATTATCACTAATTATTAAACGTGTAAAATGGATTAAAAAAAGGATGATCATATAGAATAAAAAGAATATTCTATAATTTTGTTGGGGTATTAGTTGTATATATTGAAAATAATATTAAAATCAAAAACAAAATTTTTAAACTTAAATTGAACTAATTATTAGACATGTAAAATATATTTTTTTTTAAAAAGAGGATCATATAGAATAAAAAGAATGCGAATAGATTATTATAGTTTTAACAAAAATTAATTTATTCTATAATTTTGTTGGGTATTAGTTGTATATATTGAAAATGATATTAAAATCAGAAACAAAACTTTTAATTTTAAATTGAATTAATTATTAGACATATAAAATAGATTTAAAAAAAAAGATGATTATATAGAATAAAAAAGAATGCGAATACATTACTATAGTTATAAAAATAGTTTAATTAATTATATATTTTTTGGGTATTAGTTGTATATAGTGACAATATATTCAAAGCATGGTACAAAGCTTTTGATTATAAAAAAAAACGGTTGTGTTTGAATAAATGGAAAAATTTAATGATAGCAAAACCAAAACATAATGACGTAAAAACGGTTTATTCTGTCGACGACGTGTTTGGTTATTTTTAAACGGCTTATTATTAATTTAATGACGTAATGATTTTTTTTTGTTAAATTCATAAATTTTTTTTGTTAAAATCATAATGAATTTTAAAACCAAAACGTTTCATAATAAAGTTTAAAACAAAAACGTTCCAATAGAATCCATTGATCCATTAATGATGACATTATTTAGTGAGTTAAAAATAAAATAAAAAACAATGGAATCGCAGGTTCTCTCTCTCAAATGAAGATCCTGTCAGTTTAGCGTCTCCTAGGGTTCCAAAAGGCAATATCATCTGCAAATGTTAAACAAAGTCCGGAGATTCAAGCGCTATCGAGATTTGATAGGGTTCTTCTCCAACGATCCTTCTCTTGAATGTCGGTAACAATTTCGATAGCCTCCACCACTGTCACCGCCGGAGCTCCGCCGCGTTTCTCTCTACAGTTGCTTCCGCCAAGAAAACCATGGCGTCGACATCTTTTTCCGCATCTGGTGGCGAGCTCAATGCCGATAAAAGAAGTTGTAAACTTCGAGAAAGAGATTAAGAAGAGCAAGTTCATCGCCATCGCAGGTCCCATCTCCAACGGAATAGTCCGGTCTATCGTTCATCTCCCAGTTTCTTCTCCTCTTACATAAATGGTATTTTCGAATTTTTTACCAGGTATATCTGACCGAGTGCTTGACGGTGTGTCATTAGGTTCGTGATCCCTGCGCGTCGCACAATTGTTGGGCTTACAAGATAGGTATCATATGTACATTCATCAGTCCTATCTGGAATTAAAAAAATTGAATTTCGGATTTTGGGTATTTCTCTTGCTAATGAATGATGATGGGTCTTGTTTAGGTGGGCGATCACTATCGTTCTAGCGTCGATGGTGAGCCGTCAGGTACTGCATGAAAGCCGATTCACTCTACGATTGTGTCATCAGGATTAGAGAGAGTTATGGTTGTTGTCATTACGTTCGAGTGAATGTTCATTCTCATCGTTTCATAATATATATATGGATTTTTATGTGACTGAAAGTAGAAGCTGCTTGGGAATTGTGTTTCAGGTACTTTGGAGGCATTAAACTTGGCACTGGAGGTATTATGCATTCAGTTCGCCTTGGCAACTGCAAAAATGTTTTCATACAACCATTTCTTAACATATGGAGCAGTCTTAACATATGTAGCAGTGGCAGATCACCGGAAATATTGGTGAACGGAAAGAGACGCAGAGCTGCTTGCCGTGGAGAGCATGATGTGCTAAACGAGGTCTTTGCTGATACGTGTGACATTTTAGTTTCAATTTTTTTAGTGTATATATGAATATAAATGTCATATATTTATGTGTATGTGATATTGGTGTGAATGCAGGAGAAATTAAGCGAGTCGGGGAAGAGGCGAGTAGGAAAATAGAGGAGATGAGATTAGAGGGTAAAGAAGAGGCTGGAAAAGCTTAAGAAACCAAAGATTCCGTCGCAGAGAGGTAAAAAAAATTGAATGTATATAAAGCTATACATATATGTGTGTAGTAGTCTAATGATACATTTTAGGATTCATATAAAAGGTATAAAAGGAGGAGACGTGAGAAACAAAAAACTCTGTCTTCGCCGATACAATGCTCTGGCCATTCCGCCAGTGGCAGAAAGAGGAAGAAGAAGTGGTAATTCCTCGAGCTTGTCCGATCTGGACAGCAAGAATCATCAAGGTAGTTTTTTTTTGTAATGAATCAACAAGATAGTTTACTCGATGAAGATTCTAAAATGTCTTCTTCGTATAATCGTATACATGTAACGAACCAGAAAGCGGGCATTGTCCAGGGGACATAACTCCATGGACAAGGGAAGAGCTGCAGAGTTGGAGATGCCTTGTGTCTTTACCAAAGTGGAGGAGCCCAATGGGAGAAGGGTACAAGGGATTCTGTATAAGTATCTGAAAGGAAGATGAGGAAATGAGGATAATTTGCATATGCCATGGCAGTTTCCTTTCCCTTGCCGAGTTTGTGAAACACACCGATCGAGAAGAAGTAGATCATCCTCGACATATATATACATATATATATATGAATGTTTATATATATATATATATATATGTCTATATATGTATTTTTAATGAATAGATTTATACATTCATATATATATATGTCTATATATGTATTTTTAATGAATAGATTTATATATATTATATTTATATTTTTAAATTGGGGTTTTCTAAGAGATAATGATAATATGTTATTTTTAACACATAAAAATGAGATGTAATCGAATTCGTTAAATATTTAGCGTTATTATAATGAATGTAGGCTTAAACGTTATATCAAAATTCACGTAAATCTATACAAAATATAGATCTTATACCATTAAAAAATAATTAGCGAGTTGTTTTTAAGTGGGATCATTATCATATTACATCTAAGTTATTTATGTTAGTATTGTACTAATTGATATCGTATTTTGATTTTTTTGATTTTTTTTATTTCTGTGGACAATATAATGTCAATTAATAATATACCATTATTATTATTAGGGAAAATGGCATAAACCCACATGAATTTATTCAAATGTGTAAAATCAATACACTAATTTTCAATTTGACAATTAACCACATCTGAATTCAAATTTTCCCATAATACACCACCAAATCGTGAAAAATTTTGCAATTACCCACATATGGGGATTGAACGTGTCAGCTCATAATCCGAACGCTGACGTGGTCTAACACATCATAATGAACCGCCACATCATCAGATGCATAAAATGCCACATCAGAAATTCGGGTCACTTCATCCGGTTCTCTGATTCGAACCGGTTTGTGCTTAACCGGTTAAAAAAATGATTTAGGGATTTCGAACTCTCTTTTCTTCCTCTGTTGGTCGAACACTCTTCCGGTGAGACGACCGAGCTCCAACGTTGCTCCGGCGTTCTGACGTTTCCAACCGTTGCGAACGGAGATTCCTCCGCCGTAAACCTCATCAGCTCGAATCCCGTCTTGACTATCTACAATCCAGTACATGATTCGTTTCGTACCTGATACACGCCTTTATAGTCCTCCTGTTACGCAGGACGTTTGACGTAATCAAAGCACGCAACTCCTCATGTTGGATTCCGTAGATATCTCAGGTCTTAGGATCCAATCATGGAACCGTCATATGAGATTCAAGTCATGACGCTAGTCCATGTGACAATCTCATGCGGGTCATTCCAGTATTCCGTTCTCCAACGAATACCTATGACTGTGATCGTATCCAATACCTATGATCAATCCTATGATCATCTATCACACATCATACTAGTCTTATTATGTCGTTGTTCCCACAACGACACAAGACCAGGGAGTTTAGTATCATTCATAATGATACACGGATTTCATAACATATTAAAGCATGCATAATACGTAATGAATCAAACACTAATCCATAAAACTATAGAAAGTGTCAATACATCAAATGTATCATAATCATAGCTCATAAACAGTACATCATAGAGCACCAAACCAACAATATATATATATATATATATATGCATATTTATATATATATGTCTATATATGTATTTTTTAATGAACAAATTTATATATATTATATTTATATTTTTAAATTGGGGTTTTCTACGAAATAATGATAATATGTTGTTTTTAACACATAACAATGAGATGTAATCGAATTCGTTAAATATTTAGTGTTATTATAATGAATGTAGGCTTAAACGTCATATCAAAATTCACGTAAATCTATACAAAATATGGATCTTATACCATTAAAAAATAATTAGCATTGTACTAATTGATATTGCATTTTGATTTTTTGGATTTTTTTAATTTCTATGGACAATCTAACGTCAATTAATAATATACCATATTATTATGATCAATCATTGAGAAAATAAATAAGAAAGTTCATATACTTTTTTAAAATTCAAAGTTTGTTTATTTCTATAAAAAAAAGTTTTAGAAGTTAGTGAATTTTTTAGTTATTTTCGATAATGCATAACATGAGACTTAACCGATCGGAAAAAACTTTTGCCAAATGGATTTTACAAGTTGGAAACAAGATAATAGCTAAAAGAGATACTCAATCTTACGATTTCACTAGAGACGATACAATTATAATAGACAATGTATTTATGCTCCAAAGTACAAATGATCCTATGCAAGTTATTGCAAATGTTGCGTATCCAAAGTTTCAAGAATTATTTTTAGATCATGATTATCCTCTTTAACATTAAAAAAAATGCAAAAACAACTCTATGAATGGATTCTTTCTTTCAAAAATCTCAGGACAAATGACAAAGTATCTCAGCTCGGACAAAATTGAAATTGATAATACTCCAACAACTGATTGGCAATCATTATACCCCGTCGAATATCTAAATTCTCTTGAATTTTCTTGATTACCGAATTATCGGCTTCATTTGAATGTTGGAGCTACCTTGACGATGTTAAGAAATATCAACAAAAAAGAAGGACTCTGCAACGACACGAGGCTAATAATTACTCATTTAGAAAAATAGATTTTGGAGACAGAAATTCTGACAAGACAGAACAAGGGGAAAAAAACTTAATTCCAAGAATTATTTTAACACCAACAGATTCAAATCATCCGTTTATATTTCGAAGAAGACAATTTTCGATCAAACTATGCTACGCAATGATAATAAATAAAATTCAAAGACAGTCTTAAACAACAACAATATCGTAAAGGTTTTTATATGAGATGATCTCGCGCCAGAAACCCGTTCACAAATGGACAAGTTGAATGTCAGAAGAATTGTTATAGTCATTAATGGTATAAACTCAAAGATAATCGACGGTAAATATAAAAATCATATAAACCCATAGAATTTTGATATATTCATATTTAGAGTAATATCAATATTATTAAACTAATTTATAAATCATGTGTTTTACCTTGCTACATATCATTATCTACACGGATTTATATGGATGTACAACTCAATATTATCAAAAACTATCGTGAAAAAAATATAAATTTATCAATTATTAAAACAATATTTACTACAATATTTAATAATATCAATTTATTTATTTGTTATTATTTAACAACTAATTTGTATTTTTCAAATTGAAGAATAACAAAGATTGAGAATAAAGACATTAAAAGCAAATCTTTCACAAAACGAGTCGTTCAACACATATGTAATAATGATTTTATTACATAATAATTTTATAATCTAATAATACAATAATTATTAGATTCTTCCACTTCTACCCTTTTTCTAAAAAATATATATACACACTAATTTAACTTCATAATATATATAAAATTTTTATACATTGATATCAATAAATTTTTATATCCTAAAAAATAACAACTCGCGCATCGCGCGGATTTCACCTAGTCTATATATATTAATAAAGGAATTTAAAGAGATTTGGTGAAGACACCTCATCATCCTACATGTCATTTTGTTTAATTTTGATTGGTTATAAAAAAATTATGGTAAAATTTAATGAGAAACTTATACAATATGCAAATCTATATATATTAATAAAGGAGTTTAAAGAGATTTGGTGAAGCCACCTCATCATCTTACATGTCATTTTGTTTAATTTTGATTGGTTATGAAAAAATTATGGTAAAAGTTAATGAGAAACTTATACAATATGCAAATAATTAATCCAAAATGAAATTATAAGAATTAAATGAAATATGATGGATCTAAAATAAGATCCTAAGAAAATTAATAAATTATAATTACTTTTAATAGAATGTATTGTTATTTTAAATTAAATTTATTTATTTTAGAATAGTAATAGATAAATTAGAAAATACTATTATGAAGAATTTAAAATAAAATATCACTTTACTTAAAAACAAAAAATTCCATTAAGATTTTGGTCTTAGTTTTATAGATTAATATAGATGATGTAAATTTTACTTGAATATAATATCAATAGTAAATTGTAACATTTATCATAACTAATAACCTGTAGATTTATAATATCTAAGAATGATTATAAATTTTATTTAACTTTAAAAACTAGATAAAAAATAAATATAATTAAATGATAGACGTTATGGTCCTTTTCAGTTGTAATGTCGGTTAATGCTGATTTAAATAAATAATTTACGTTATGATGGATTAAAAAATAAGCAAACGGCTAATTTTAGTATTAGTAAAGATTTAATTATGTTATGGAGAATTGAAAAGGCAAGAATGATACAGTGACATATTTATGTGAGACCCGCAGGTGAATGTACGTCGTCCGATTCTGTTTCGATCGTTTGCGTTTTAGATTTTCTTCTTTGGATATTTTTGAATTTTTCCTAAATCTCATGCGCATCGGGTCGCGCATAAGCTGTGGACATAGCCCGGAAACCTCTGGCTATAGCTCTTCAATCACGGATCTCCGACGTGTTCGCCGTCGATATTCACATGGTGACGAAGATCGGGAAGAGGATAATCCTCGACGGTGGTGGGAAACAAGGTCTCCATCATCCACCACGTGAGCTCGGAAGAATCGCCTAGGCGGGCGGTGATCGGCACCCGAATATCGACGATGGAGTCTTGATCGTAGCCGGAGCAACCATCCTCGAGAACGTGAAGATCGGTATATATGTTGGAGCTACCTTGATGATGCTAAGAAATATCAACAAAAAAGAAGGACTCTGCAACGACACGAGGCTAATAATTACTCATTTAGAAAAATAGATTTTGGAGACAGAAATTCTGACAAGACAGAACAAGGGGAAAAAAACTTAATTCCAAGAATTATTTTAACACCAACAGATTCAAATCATCCGTTTATATTTCGAAGAAGACAATTTTCGATCAAACTATGCTACGCAATGATAATAAATAAAAGTCAAAGACAAAGTCTTAAACAAGTAGCCGTTTATTTGTCAAGACCAGTCTTTACACATGGACAGTTGTATATATGTTGCTCGCTTCCGTGCTACTTCTACATCATGAATACTACATCATGAATACAAATTCATGATCATATAGAGAACTCTTCTGATAAATAAAGTGTCACCAACATTGTCTACAAAGAAATCTTCAACGGACTACTACGAACATTGTCGTGTTATAGGAGTTTTGTTCATAATAGAAAGATCAAATTTATGAAACGCATCATCAACTTAGAAAATTGTTCAGCGCATATCATTAAAAGAGTATGTATGCTATATTTAAATTAAATTGCAATTTATATAATTTTGAAAATTTAAATTTTGATTTAATTTCTAACAACTTTTTTCTATAATTAAATCTTAAAAACAATAACAATATCGTAAAGGTTTTTATATGGAATGATCTCGCGCCAGAAACCCATTCACAAATGGACAAGCTGAATGTCAGAAGAATTGTTATAGTCATTAATGGTATAAATTCAAAGATAATCGACGGTAAATATAAATCATATAAAACCATAGAATTTTGATATATTCATATATAGAGTAATATCAATATTATTAAACTAATTTATAAATCATGTGTTTTGTCGTGCTACACATCATTATCTATACGGATTTATATGGATGCACAACTCAACATTATCAAAATCTATCGTGACAAAAATATAAATTTATCAATTATTAAAACAATATTTACTACAATATTTAAGAATATCAATTTATTTATTTGTTATTATTTAACAACTAATTTTTATTTTTCAAATTGAAGAATAACAAAGATTGAGAATAAAGATATTAAGAGCAAATCTTTCACAAAACGAGTCGTTCAACACATATGTAATAATGATTTTATTACATAATAATTTTATAATCTAAGAATACAATAATTATTAGATTCTTCCACTTCTACCCTTTTTCTAAAAAATATATATACACACTAATTTAACTTCATAATATATATAACATTTTTATACATTTATATCAATAAAATTTTATATCCTAAAAAAGAACAACCCGCACGATACTAGTAAATATTAATAATAATAAATAAACAAGTGCGTAAATGGGAAGTGAAGGTGGATGGATTCGGAAGGTTTTTTTACCAAACAATCTCTAATTTCTCTAGCGGTCGGGCGTTTCGGATTTCGAGTCAGAATTTTAACAGTTTAGTTCGAAAATAATTCATTTAATATTCTAACATCTGTACCAAATTAGTATCGTATATTAATCAGTTCAGTTTCGGTTTCGGTACGGTTCGGTTTCGATTTTTGTTAAAAAAATTTAGATTTTTTTTTAAAATTCTGTTTTGAGAAATTTTATAAAGTTCGATTCGATTCGTTTCTGAAAAATTCGGTTCTATACCGTTCAAAAATTTTAAACTATACGGTTCGAAAATTTTTGATTCGGTATGGCTCGGTTCTTTGGAACCGAATACAAACATCAACCCCTAAATTTCTCGATGAAATAGGAAGAGGGTCACGAAGCTCGTTCTTCGACGATTAGACGAAAAAAAAGGGAGAATTTAAGATAACCCCAAAAATGAAAGTTGTCACTGTCGGCCGATCGGCTCAAGCTGGTATAATTACCCAAAGACGAACACTTTGAAGTCTTAAATGCTTTCTCCCTTAAAATGAGAACTATTATAATGCTCGAGTTTTGGCCATGGCGGTGGCTAAGTCGTCAAAGGGCTCTGTTTTTAATGCAAGCGTGGGTATAAATCCAGACCCTTTTCCTGTATTTCTACAGGGAAAAAAATATGTTATGTTTTCGGTGGTGCACAGATGAAATAGATGCGACCAAGTGGGTTATTTGGATAAAAAACCCAATACAAACGTCAACCCCTAACTTTCTCGATGAAGTAGGAAGAGGGTCACGAAGCTCGTTCTTCGACGATTAGACGAAAAAAAAGGAAGAATTTAAGATAACCCCAAAAATGGAAGTTGTCACTGTCGGCCGATCGGCTCAAGCTGGTATAATTACCCAAAGACGAACACTTTGAAGTCTTAAATGCTTTCTCCCTTAAAATGAGAACTATTATAATGCTCGAGTTTTGGCCATGGCGGTGGCTAAGGGGTCAAAGGGCTCTGTTTTTAATGCAAGCGTGGGTATAAATCCAGACCCCTTTCCTGTATTTCTTTTTGCTTCTTCCTCTCCTCTTTCTCCCCGTGTTATATCTCTATTCTCTAAAAGGCGACCACTTTCGCTGTTTCTCTCTAATCTGTTGTTGCGGCTGAGAACTGACCCAGTTCCATAAAGATTGGTAAGAAATTGAGGAAAAAGATTTGAACTTGTTCAAAGAGGGGCACAGTATCTGTAATGGGTGCCTTTCTCTTGATGCTTCTAAGCTCCAATCTCTGCTAAAATCTGGTTAGGGTTTCTTAGGAGACCGTTTCTGAGTGTCTGTACGGAAATCATGGTGTCCGTTGACTGTTTATGCACCTTTTTGAACTTCATCTCAGTACTTGATAGTGCTTCTGGTCAATACGATCAAATCATGGATTTGATCTGATTCTTTTGATGGGGCCTTATGTCTCGGGTAACTTTTATTACTCATCTGATCAAGCTGGTAGTCATTCCTTTCTCGTTATTCACGGTTACATTTCATGTTCTTAAATGTTCCTCAGGTGCCATTTGATTTCACTCCCGTGAATGTGCTTTTGTTGCAAGCCTTAATGAGATATACAGTGTGCTGGTCTTGGAGGCTGAAGCTCTCATGTTAAGGTACGATTCGGTAGAGAAGCTAATTCAGGACTTGGCTGTTTTGGTAGCTGTTCAGAAGCTGGAGAGACATGGATCACATAGGTGACAAAGACAAGTTTGCGGTAGAGAAGAACAGTAGTGTTAATAATGTAAGCTGTGATTCGGTTAACAAGCCAGCAGACTGGCGAGTCTGTGTTTCTAATCCAGTGTCTTTGCCTACGGATTCATATCCTCCAGGGGATCCTATGTCTGTTGGTCCATCATCTTTTTCTCAATCTCAGATGATGAATTCATTTAGTAAAGCTCTATGGCATGATCCCTCCAGTGTACAGACCACAGGGTTTGGCAGTTTCAGTGTCCAGACTGATGCAGGTTCTTCGGGTGTATTGGGTGTTGCAGATGGCAATCTTGGCTCTTTCAGGAATAATGTTGATAGACCTCTTGAAACGGGTTGGAATCTTTCTAATCCGTTGCCTAATGGAGACATTCTTCTTCTGCCTAATGCAAATGGGTTCTTCCCCCATAGCATGGCTCAGATCCCAGCTGATTCGGGCTTCATTACTCGTGCTGCAAGGTTTTCGTGCTACGGTAGTGGGATTTTTGGTGAAATGTTGAACCAACCTCTTGGAGTTCCTGAACCAATTGGTTTGTATTCTCAAGTGTGTGGAACAATGCAACGGCTGCAGGATATGCCAGTGGGAACTGTAGCCAAACAAGCTCATGGAGGACAATGCTCGGGGAATGAACTAAATGTCGGTGAACTTCCAAAGGATGCTTCTACGGCAGTAAGAGATGGGTTCAAGAATGATGCAGGAACTGTGATCCATGTTGGAGCCAACGAAGAAGTTAAAGTAGATAAACCTGGATGCAGTCATATGTCTGATGAAACTCGATCCAGTGGTGGTAATGGTCGAAATGAACTGCAAGTTGGGGAATTGAAATCTGGGGAAACCCCTTCCAAGTGCTTTGATAGGAAGAAAAGGAAAATAAATAGCCAGGTAAAGGCTATAAAGCACTCTTTTCTTTCCTGAATTCTTTGTATTTTCCAATTATTACATAGATAATCTCTCTGTCGGTACGGTTATGAGCCTAACCAGTCAAGCAGAGCTCTGCAGTCAGGTGAAGAACCAGACAACAATGGTGAGAAAAAGGAAAATTATGAGCGAAATACCAATTTGTCTCCTAAGAAGACAAGTGGAGGGAAACAAGCTTCTGATCCTCCAAAGGAAGGATATATTCACATGAGGGCTCGAAGAGGCCAGGCCACAAACAGCCATAGTCTTGCAGAAAGAGTATGGTTCTACGTCTTAAAATATGATATGAGCAATCTCTTCAAACTTCTTTTTGTTTGTGGTGCACTCTTGAATCTTAATTAGGTGTTTTTTTTTTCATTTCTTCTCATTGCAGGTAAGGAGAGAAAAGATTAGTGAAAGGATGAAGTTCCTTCAAGACCTTGTGCCGGGTTGCAATAAGGTGAGGCTTCTAGATGATTATAGCTGTACGAGAAGAAAGCTATAGGCTCCATTTCTCGTATATAGTTGAAATGGATGTGTTGTGCAGGTCACAGGGAAGGCAGTTATGCTCGATGAAATCATTAACTATGTCCAGTCACTACAACGACAGGTCGAGGTATGTATATGCCTGTGGATATTTACCTATATCCAACTTTGTTCTCTCTTGTTTAATATTTGTGATTGATTCTTTATCAGTCTCATCTTATGAATTGTCCTTTTCCTCGTTTTTTTTTCAGTTCTTATCAATGAAACTCGCAACCGTAAATCCTCAGCTTGAGTTAAACCTCGATGGCCTCATGGCTAAAGAAGTAAGAAAGTTGAAACCCATCAGTTAGACTGACATATATTTTTATCTGATGAGCAGTTTGTATCATACAAAGCTCAAACTATGGTTTATATCCTATTGAGTGCAGGCCCTTCAGCTACGACCTGGTCCCTCATCTGCACCACCATTTCCCCAAAGCATCATGCCAATGGCTTATCCTCCTCTACCGCATCTTTCCCAACCTGGATTCATGGAACCGACTCTCTCTTGCATGAGAAATCCATCTGATGTCCTTAGGCAAACTGTCACTTCCCCATTGTCTCCCATGAATGAAGGAGGATTCAAGCGACCGGTATACTCCCTGGTTCCACCTCGTTTTTAGAACAAAGGGTTTCACTGTAGGATTACGTTTTTGCAAAGGACTTGTGCAAACATGGATTTATGTAATTTCCGGATGTCTTTTCTGGTTCATTACAGGTCCTGTTATGTTACAACATCTGATCTTCTATCTTGGTGTCACAGGAAACACAGGGATGGGAGTGTGATCTGCAGAATGTTGTTCACGTGTGCTATGGAACCGATGCTACACCTGAAAATCAAGAAGCAACTGGTAAAATCTAATCGTGTTTTTCTCCTTCTGTAGAGCTAGTCGATTACTTGCTGAAAATCTGTTTAGAAAGATTAAAGGAAGTATCTTTCAACTCACTATAACATTAAAAAATGATATTCTGTACAGGGTCTCTTCCACCTGCTGACATGAAGGTTGAGCAGTGACGTTTCGTCCCTCGTTATCGTTTGCCCCAAGTGGTAATTATATGTCGTTGGTTATACCAACACAAGCAGAGCAATTGAAATACTGCGTCGGCTTGTCTAAAACATCCAGATTCCAACCAGAATGTGGAAAATGGAAAAGGAAAGAAGATTGGATCTTGTTTCTGTAATCTGTACAGCTGGGGAAGACTCATCTGATTACCCTTCACTCTGGTTGATTCCAAGTGGGAGAAAGAGATAGAAGTGAAAGTCCTTTTTATAATGGAGAGGGAGATTTGGGGTGTTGGAAAGATCTGTGCTTTCACTATGTTCTTGTTTTGTGTATAGATAGGTGGATATAGAAGTGAAAATATTTGATGTAATTTCTCTATGATCAACATGAACATGATTTACCTTAGGTTTTTATAGAAGAGGAGATGCCCTTTATTCACAGATCCAATTGTTTGGAGCACCTTACTAATTGCATACATTTTCAGGAATAATGTTGATAGACCTCTTGAAACGGGTTGGAATCTTTCTAATCCGTTGCCTAATGGAGACATTCTTCTTCTGCCTAATGCAAATGGGTTCTTCCCCCATAGCATGGCTCAGATCCCAGCTGATTCGGGCTTCATTACTCGTGCTGCAAGGTTTTCGTGCTACGGTAGTGGGATTTTTGGTGAAATGTTGAACCAACCTCTTGGAGTTCCTGAACCAATTGGTTTGTATTCTCAAGTGTGTGGAACAATGCAACGGCTGCAGGATATGCCAGTGGGAACTGTAGCCAAACAAGCTCATGGAGGACAATGCTCGGGGAATGAACTAAATGTCGGTGAACTTCCAAAGGATGCTTCTACGGCAGTAAGAGATGGGTTCAAGAATGATGCAGGAACTGTGATCCATGTTGGAGCCAACGAAGAAGTTAAAGTAGATAAACCTGGATGCAGTCATATGTCTGATGAAACTCGATCCAGTGGTGGTAATGGTCGAAATGAACTGCAAGTTGGGGAATTGAAATCTGGGGAAACCCCTTCCAAGTGCTTTGATAGGAAGAAAAGGAAAATAAATAGCCAGGTAAAGGCTATAAAGCACTCTTTTCTTTCCTGAATTCTTTGTATTTTCCAATTATTACATAGATAATCTCTCTGTCGGTACGGTTATGAGCCTAACCAGTCAAGCAGAGCTCTGCAGTCAGGTGAAGAACCAGACAACAATGGTGAGAAAAAGGAAAATTATGAGCGAAATACCAATTTGTCTCCTAAGAAGACAAGTGGAGGGAAACAAGCTTCTGATCCTCCAAAGGAAGGATATATTCACATGAGGGCTCGAAGAGGCCAGGCCACAAACAGCCATAGTCTTGCAGAAAGAGTATGGTTCTACGTCTTAAAATATGATATGAGCAATCTCTTCAAACTTCTTTTTGTTTGTGGTGCACTCTTGAATCTTAATTAGGTGTTTTTTTTTTCATTTCTTCTCATTGCAGGTAAGGAGAGAAAAGATTAGTGAAAGGATGAAGTTCCTTCAAGACCTTGTGCCGGGTTGCAATAAGGTGAGGCTTCTAGATGATTATAGCTGTACGAGAAGAAAGCTATAGGCTCCATTTCTCGTATATAGTTGAAATGGATGTGTTGTGCAGGTCACAGGGAAGGCAGTTATGCTCGATGAAATCATTAACTATGTCCAGTCACTACAACGACAGGTCGAGGTATGTATATGCCTGTGGATATTTACCTATATCCAACTTTGTTCTCTCTTGTTTAATATTTGTGATTGATTCTTTATCAGTCTCATCTTATGAATTGTCCTTTTCCTCGTTTTTTTTTCAGTTCTTATCAATGAAACTCGCAACCGTAAATCCTCAGCTTGAGTTAAACCTCGATGGCCTCATGGCTAAAGAAGTAAGAAAGTTGAAACCCATCAGTTAGACTGACATATATTTTTATCTGATGAGCAGTTTGTATCATACAAAGCTCAAACTATGGTTTATATCCTATTGAGTGCAGGCCCTTCAGCTACGACCTGGTCCCTCATCTGCACCACCATTTCCCCAAAGCATCATGCCAATGGCTTATCCTCCTCTACCGCATCTTTCCCAACCTGGATTCATGGAACCGACTCTCTCTTGCATGAGAAATCCATCTGATGTCCTTAGGCAAACTGTCACTTCCCCATTGTCTCCCATGAATGAAGGAGGATTCAAGCGACCGGTATACTCCCTGGTTCCACCTCGTTTTTAGAACAAAGGGTTTCACTGTAGGATTACGTTTTTGCAAAGGACTTGTGCAAACATGGATTTATGTAATTTCCGGATGTCTTTTCTGGTTCATTACAGGTCCTGTTATGTTACAACATCTGATCTTCTATCTTGGTGTCACAGGAAACACAGGGATGGGAGTGTGATCTGCAGAATGTTGTTCACGTGTGCTATGGAACCGATGCTACACCTGAAAATCAAGAAGCAACTGGTAAAATCTAATCGTGTTTTTCTCCTTCTGTAGAGCTAGTCGATTACTTGCTGAAAATCTGTTTAGAAAGATTAAAGGAAGTATCTTTCAACTCACTATAACATTAAAAAATGATATTCTGTACAGGGTCTCTTCCACCTGCTGACATGAAGGTTGAGCAGTGACGTTTCGTCCCTCGTTATCGTTTGCCCCAAGTGGTAATTATATGTCGTTGGTTATACCAACACAAGCAGAGCAATTGAAATACTGCGTCGGCTTGTCTAAAACATCCAGATTCCAACCAGAATGTGGAAAATGGAAAAGGAAAGAAGATTGGATCTTGTTTCTGTAATCTGTACAGCTGGGGAAGACTCATCTGATTACCCTTCACTCTGGTTGATTCCAAGTGGGAGAAAGAGATAGAAGTGAAAGTCCTTTTTATAATGGAGAGGGAGATTTGGGGTGTTGGAAAGATCTGTGCTTTCACTATGTTCTTGTTTTGTGTATAGATAGGTGGATATAGAAGTGAAAATATTTGATGTAATTTCTCTATGATCAACATGAACATGATTTACCTTAGGTTTTTATAGAAGAGGAGATGCCCTTTATTCACAGATCCAATTGTTTGGAGCACCTTACTAATTGCATACATTTTCAGGAATAATGTTGATAGACCTCTTGAAACGGGTTGGAATCTTTCTAATCCGTTGCCTAATGGAGACATTCTTCTTCTGCCTAATGCAAATGGGTTCTTCCCCCATAGCATGGCTCAGATCCCAGCTGATTCGGGCTTCATTACTCGTGCTGCAAGGTTTTCGTGCTACGGTAGTGGGATTTTTGGTGAAATGTTGAACCAACCTCTTGGAGTTCCTGAACCAATTGGTTTGTATTCTCAAGTGTGTGGAACAATGCAACGGCTGCAGGATATGCCAGTGGGAACTGTAGCCAAACAAGCTCATGGAGGACAATGCTCGGGGAATGAACTAAATGTCGGTGAACTTCCAAAGGATGCTTCTACGGCAGTAAGAGATGGGTTCAAGAATGATGCAGGAACTGTGATCCATGTTGGAGCCAACGAAGAAGTTAAAGTAGATAAACCTGGATGCAGTCATATGTCTGATGAAACTCGATCCAGTGGTGGTAATGGTCGAAATGAACTGCAAGTTGGGGAATTGAAATCTGGGGAAACCCCTTCCAAGTGCTTTGATAGGAAGAAAAGGAAAATAAATAGCCAGGTAAAGGCTATAAAGCACTCTTTTCTTTCCTGAATTCTTTGTATTTTCCAATTATTACATAGATAATCTCTCTGTCGGTACGGTTATGAGCCTAACCAGTCAAGCAGAGCTCTGCAGTCAGGTGAAGAACCAGACAACAATGGTGAGAAAAAGGAAAATTATGAGCGAAATACCAATTTGTCTCCTAAGAAGACAAGTGGAGGGAAACAAGCTTCTGATCCTCCAAAGGAAGGATATATTCACATGAGGGCTCGAAGAGGCCAGGCCACAAACAGCCATAGTCTTGCAGAAAGAGTATGGTTCTACGTCTTAAAATATGATATGAGCAATCTCTTCAAACTTCTTTTTGTTTGTGGTGCACTCTTGAATCTTAATTAGGTGTTTTTTTTTTCATTTCTTCTCATTGCAGGTAAGGAGAGAAAAGATTAGTGAAAGGATGAAGTTCCTTCAAGACCTTGTGCCGGGTTGCAATAAGGTGAGGCTTCTAGATGATTATAGCTGTACGAGAAGAAAGCTATAGGCTCCATTTCTCGTATATAGTTGAAATGGATGTGTTGTGCAGGTCACAGGGAAGGCAGTTATGCTCGATGAAATCATTAACTATGTCCAGTCACTACAACGACAGGTCGAGGTATGTATATGCCTGTGGATATTTACCTATATCCAACTTTGTTCTCTCTTGTTTAATATTTGTGATTGATTCTTTATCAGTCTCATCTTATGAATTGTCCTTTTCCTCGTTTTTTTTTCAGTTCTTATCAATGAAACTCGCAACCGTAAATCCTCAGCTTGAGTTAAACCTCGATGGCCTCATGGCTAAAGAAGTAAGAAAGTTGAAACCCATCAGTTAGACTGACATATATTTTTATCTGATGAGCAGTTTGTATCATACAAAGCTCAAACTATGGTTTATATCCTATTGAGTGCAGGCCCTTCAGCTACGACCTGGTCCCTCATCTGCACCACCATTTCCCCAAAGCATCATGCCAATGGCTTATCCTCCTCTACCGCATCTTTCCCAACCTGGATTCATGGAACCGACTCTCTCTTGCATGAGAAATCCATCTGATGTCCTTAGGCAAACTGTCACTTCCCCATTGTCTCCCATGAATGAAGGAGGATTCAAGCGACCGGTATACTCCCTGGTTCCACCTCGTTTTTAGAACAAAGGGTTTCACTGTAGGATTACGTTTTTGCAAAGGACTTGTGCAAACATGGATTTATGTAATTTCCGGATGTCTTTTCTGGTTCATTACAGGTCCTGTTATGTTACAACATCTGATCTTCTATCTTGGTGTCACAGGAAACACAGGGATGGGAGTGTGATCTGCAGAATGTTGTTCACGTGTGCTATGGAACCGATGCTACACCTGAAAATCAAGAAGCAACTGGTAAAATCTAATCGTGTTTTTCTCCTTCTGTAGAGCTAGTCGATTACTTGCTGAAAATCTGTTTAGAAAGATTAAAGGAAGTATCTTTCAACTCACTATAACATTAAAAAATGATATTCTGTACAGGGTCTCTTCCACCTGCTGACATGAAGGTTGAGCATTCCGATCCGACGATCAAATCCCCCAGAAAAACAAATTACCAGAGATTCTCCGGGAAGAAGGGACTCAATTTCCGGGATTTTCCCGAGAAAGTGATATCAACAGAACAATTCAAACGCACAAGTCGGTGAAAACAATTACAAAAAAAAAAACAAATCAGAAACGAAGAACCAAAAAAACATCAATCTGAAACCAGAGTTGGGTGGGAAGAGAGAAGAAAGAGAGAAAGGCGCGGGTGAAGTTAATAGTCGCCGATAGCAAACCCTGCGTAAAACCTCGTGGTTTTTTAGATCTAGATTTGTACATATATGTTAGTATATGAAACCAATCGCCAAATCAGAGTGGCGCAGCGGAAGCGTGGTGGGCCCATAACCCACAGGTCCCTGGATCGAAACCAGGCTCTGATATGGAGTGGCTTCCCACACTTTTTTCTTATTTTTTTGTAATAATCTGTATTTGGCCTAAAGAAGCCACTAGGCTCACATAACATATTCGGCCCATACATTCACTTCACGTGATCATATTCCATACCATCACGTGTACCTCACGTGTCCACCTTCTTCGGTTTTGTTAACTGTACATTTCTTTCCCAGGGTTAATCTCACCATATCGCTTCTTCCACGTGTCTAACTTTATATTGGCTTCAAAATGTGAGCTCACATATTCGGCCCATACATTCACTTCACGTGATCATATTCCATACCATCACGTGTACCTCACGTGTCCACCTTCTTCGGTTTTGTTAACTGTACATTTCTTTGCCAGGGTTAACCTCACCATATCGCTTCTTCCACGTGTCTAACTTTATATTGGCTCTAAAATGTGAGCTCACAAGTTTCAGTCGCAGACAATTATAACTCGAACGAGTCACGAGTCGCCAGAAAATCCAAAGCTCGTCGAGGAAAATGGCGATGAGATAGAACGGAACGAAAAAAGAAGAAAAGGATCCGATATAAAGTGATTTGTCTTTTTTCGCCTTTTTTTTTGTGTCGGGCTGCGCAATTCTCCGGCGAGGATGAGAATCGGAAAGGGAAATCTCGACGAAGAAGAGTACGGAGATGATGAGTTTGGTCCGAATCGACATGGTCCCTCTTCGAACACTACAGTTCACAGCAACAACAACAGTATCGCCGCCGCGAACAAAGGTATTCTCGGATCCGAATCTGATGAATCCCTGTAGTTTCGTTCGATGTTTTCTTTTTTTTTATTAGGGTTGTGTTATGTCGCTTCGGAATTATAGTGGGTCTGTCTTGTTTTCGGATAGGTTGAACGAGATTGCCTTAAATCCTGGAGAGAATTATATTCTGCGTTTTTTTTTTCTGATATGGTGTCTGATTTGGAGCAGATGCTAAGAACAGTGATAAGGCTGCAATACGCTCAAAACATTCGGTCACGGAGCAGCGGAGAAGAAGCAAAATCAATGAGAGGTATGCTGATTACGCGGCAATTTTCGAGATCGGTTGAGGCTTGCTGGGTTGAGATTAGGTTTAAACTTGAAACCTCTTTGTCTGGTCGGGTAAATCTTAAGTAGTAACCGGTTTGTTGATATGTCCTAGCATGAAGAATCAAGTTGAATTTAGTGAAAGCTAAGGACTTCTTTAGGAATTCGGATTGTTGGCCGCAGCATTTCATGATTTATATCGTTCGGTGTTTTGTTTGATTTTACGAATCTAGGAATTTGCTTCTCCGGTAGTTGATCTGGCATTTTCAACTCTGTCGAAAAGCAGTATGTATTCAGTTTAGAACTTGATGAGAGATAAGCCTCTTCTTTTTCAGATTTCAGATATTGAGGGAACTGATTCCACATAGCGATCAGAAACGAGACACGGCGTCTTTCCTAGTAGAGGTATGTTATGTTGGATTAGATGATGGTAAGTGGGAATCTCCTAGTAGAGGTAGCTTAGATTTCTGTTCGCTGAACATTATTATCGGCATTCATAATGTTCTAGCATCATATATCGTACCGATATATTGATGTGAAAAGTTCTCAGACATAGCTTCTAACTCTGTTGTTCGTTTAAAGACGGCTTGTTCCAGTGGTGCCCAGTTTTATAATTATCTCGGTATATAAGTCTTTGTGAAATTCTGAGCTGATTTCGTGGTTTGAACAGAGGAATAGCCACTGGCGCGTTCAGGGTTTTGCCGATCACCCGAACAACGGGTCTGGTCCCGGGACACCATTTCATGGGAAGTTTGAGGAGAATAATAATATGATGACTGCTACCACACCTGCAATTCAAAACCCAGTTGAATCTGAACATGACAGAGATGTAGCCTTCAGACCGACGGATAGACAACCTGAGTTAGACAACAAGGGATTATCTCTGTCCATGTCAGTTGCACCGATTCCTCAACCGTCACACTCACATGGTGGTGCCCAATCAATCGAAAGCCCTGCAAGGGGGAGTGATCTTCCATGTCAACAACCCGAGGATCCAGTTATAGAAGGCGGAACAATTAACATCTCTAGTGTCTACTCACATGAGTGAGTTATTCAATTCCCTGTTCTTTCTCGTATAATATTAGTTGTTTTAATCTATATAGGCTGCTTGTTATACAGTTGAAGTACTGAATTTATGGTTTTGGTTATGACCAGGCTGTTAACCTCTTTGACACAAGCACTCGAGAAGGCAGGCGTCGACCTATCACATGCTAGACTTTCAGTGCAGATCGATCTTGGGAAACGATCTGATCAAGGAGTAGCATCTGCTAATAAGGTGAAGAGAAGAAATGATCAAACTTTCAGAGACTAACTTAGGTCACTTTTGAATACTGAAACCCGTCCGAGGTCTCGGGATTCTGTCATTGGATCCAAGAATATGATAACAGAGGCGGGCAATCACGAGCCGATCTCATCGTTTTTTGGGTATTATTCGGTGGTTTCAGGATCCGGAGTCTGATAATGAAGGAGCAAAGGATCCAGGCTGCTGTGAGGAAGAATCTGATCATTCTTATAAGCGTATGAAGAAGACATAGCAAAAAAAGACAAGACAATGCATCCGTGTAATGTAATGTCCAACTCAAAACTGTTTCATGTGTTTTGGTTATTATAAGGTTGCGGTATTATTGTGCATACATGCTCTCTCTTTCTCCTTCATGGGTTTTCTTTAGGGTCTTTTTCTTTAATGAAACAAAAAGGAAAAAAAAAGTCTCTCTGATTTGTTATTTGATGTCTGATGAGTGTAATCTCCAATATTAGATACTATGGTATCTAGGGGTGAGCATACATGGATCGGTATCCAGAATTTTTAGGATATCCGAATTCTAATATCTCGGGTGGTATGTTTTATTACCTGAATTCTTACCTATGACGTCGAATATCTAAACTAAAAAACTCGCCTTATCGGATATCTATTAGTATCCATACCCAAATATTTTTAATTATTTTCGATCAATTTTTTAATTATATTTATATCAAAATCAATTTAAAAGGTATTTATATCTAAAATAAATTCAAAGTTCTTTAAAATATATCTAATAATACCTATATAATTATTAAAATCAAATAATATAACACAAAATCTAACGTAAATCCTAAAATTTAGCGGATAATTTTGTATTATCTATATCCACAAGACAATATCAATTAACCGAACCCGAAAATTCAGGTATTCCAAAATTATTAACCGATCTTGTATTTCATTCTCTTCATATATCTAGCTCGACCAAGTATCCGAAATTTGGGTTGTTTTGACCACCCCTAATGGGATTTGCTGCGTCATATTCTCTATAACCAAAAAAAAAATTCTCATGGGGCACACTAATTCTCCTGTGTTTCAAATCCGATAATCAAAAAATTCAAGACCGTATAGAGCACCCAAATTACGAATACCCTGCAGAATTATTTAGATACTCGTAGATATTCTAATCCAAAGTTTATTTAAACAAACATATATAAAAAAATGGATTCGGATATCCTGTATAAAAATACAAAAGTGTAAATATTCAAAATTGATAAGGATATATATTCGTAACAAATGTACACAAACACTAGCGGGCACTCCATGCCCATTGATACAGGAAAAAAAAACGTATTGCATGCACGAAAAATATATATATTATAAAAAAACATTTTATATACTTAAATCTGATATTTTAATATTTACATTTTATATTAAAATATCAGTTACTTGATATTTTTTCATAAAATAAAAAAAAAATTATACTTTTATAGTTCACAAACCAATTCGTTTAACTCGTGAAACAAACGATCCAAATCAAATCAATATTTTCCTGTTTCATTTGAAAACGAGTCTATGTTAAACTAGAATATTACAAAATAAGGATTTAAAAAAACAAAGAAATTTAATTTTTAAAAATTTGGCAAAAAAAAAAAAAAAAACAGGGAGTGGCTAATGGAGGGTGAGGGCCATAGCTTTGACGAGGAAGGCATAGTCGAAGGCAGTCTCGTGGCAGTGGGCGAAGCGACCTCCTTCTCCGAAATGGCCTCCTCTCATATTTGTCCTCAGAAGCACAGCTCTCGAGCATCTTCCGCACGCTCTCTCTCGTATCTTCCCCACCCATTTCCCGCCCTCCCACGCTCCCACCCTGCGCCATCACACATATATATCCTCCATTCATGGATCCGCAATTGTAAAAAGAACCGGTTTAGGTTTCATTCACTGTATGCTTGCCTTTGATCGTGAAACGACGGTTGAACGAGCATCGATGGGTAGCAAACACCTTCGCGTATGTTTTCGTAAGGTGAATAGCTGCGGATGCACTCGAAGTCCGTTTCCGTTTGCGGGTTTCCGAATTCTTCGTAGTCAAGAACCGTTAGAGGTAAGCTCGGGTCCATTAACGTGTTCAGCACATCGAGAAAGGGAACCTGTCAACCGCCAGTACATCCCCGATGAGAGATCCGATAAAGGACGTGTTTTTAGCTTTGACTATGCAAGAGATGCGATAAAGGATGTGTCTTTTTGCGAAATCTAACCTTCAAAATTGCAGCTCGGAAGAGACCCGGGTGCATATTCATGGCTGCAGCTGGAAGAACACAGCCTGCACTGTACCCTATTGCAGCAAGATACTGTCTTTGGACATAGCCCTCGTCGATTAGATAGTTTGCGCATGCTATGAAGTCTTGGATCGAGTTTTTCTTGTTCAATCCAGCTCCGGATTTATGCCACGATAAATCCTCTCCTCCTCCTCCGCCCCTGTAAGAATCAAGGCAAGAATAATCGAAAGATATCAAACGCGATGATTTTCCTCTCGTCTGATTGGGATATACCCTACCTGACATCGGCAAATGCAATCGCCCAGCCACGATCAAGCATGCTCAATCTATTAGAGCACCAGTTTTTGTCTAGTACTTCCCCATATGCACCATACCCGATTAATATTCCCGGGGATCGATTCATCTGCCATGCTTTACGAGAATACAGAATCGTAAGAGGGATCTCAACTCCATCATGAGAAGGAACCTCTCGTCTCTCACAAACATATCCATGGGAGATATTCTTCAATCTATCCATTTGGTTACTTAACCGAACATCCTGAACCTCGGTGATGTTATCCACAGAGCAGGCAGCAGGTGACGTAGCAATGTCGGGATTACCTGTAACACCCTCTTCCTGCAAAATCGAGAATGATCTTCTTGGCACATCATAGTCGATAATCGTGTCAGGAATCTGCATGTTCCGGATAGAATCAAGGTGTTCAGAGAGAGAATCTTTACAGAAAAATAGTGATTAAGAGCACAGCCCATTTCATAATCAAGATCATTAGACGTTATACCACAGGAGATGACAGCACTAATCTGTATATCGAGCTCGTAAAATCATGGTTTGATCCCGGGACAACACTGCAGTGATCAGAAGGAAGAGGAAAGTACCAGGGATTGAGATCCTCTATTCTCCTCAGATCCTGCAAAAGAATAAACCGGAAGGATTATACCAAAAACCACTTTTTTTTTCAGAACTGTTCAAATATCCTTAGTACCTTTGGATTTGCTCTGATAGGCATATCAATGGAAGATATCACAGGTAAGCCATTCTTGTTGAGGAAAAGCACCATGTAGTCATCGAACATGTCCATATCTTGTATGCTGTCATTGTCATCCGGATGAATAACCGTCTGAGAAGAAAAATCGGTACCATTACGAATCTGACCAAACGAGAAAAAAAAAATGGAAGATGATAATTTTGATAAACCAAAGTTGAGCAGAACCTGCCAGTTAGATGCTTCAATTTCTTCCACTCGACACCTAGTCAAGTAATAGCCTTTGCCCGAACGCTCACTGGTTCCACTTGTGGGTGCATTAGTTAGAATGTAAAAGAGCCCGTTATGATGTTCAAGAAAATACTGCACGCCAACAGCCCGCCTACGAACCCTTCGAAGCCCGGCTGATGGGTAATCAGCACTTATAACATAAACCTGCAGTATGAGAAATCGATATGAGCCTCAAGGCAATGGACTATAACTCAGAAAGAAAATGCAAAAGGAAGAAGGTAAATTCCTCGGATGAAGTTCTTGAATTTGAATTGATTGTGACAAACTTGCCATCTTTTGTACTCGTTATGTCTAGACAGAAACTGGAATCGTTTTCCACAAACACTTGTGAATCATCGTTACCGTCTGATTCTACATTAGTGGACATCACCCTGCGAAAATCAGCACATTGAACAAACACCCCAGCATTCCAAAACAAAAAAAGACAATCTTTCAGTACAAACAGAGATTGTGTCATGCCTGTGAGGTCTTTGATTTTCATCTGAGACGGTATAGAACAAGGTCTTTCCATCTAGAGCCCATGCCAAGCTGACAGCTCCATCAGTTCTTGACCTTGGAACCAAACGTCCAGTTCTAAGGTCTTTGATCTGAAGCAAAAATCTTTCACTACCCGAAGGATCAACTGTGTAAGCTAGATAGTTGTGATCAGGCGAAATCCGGCAAACCCCAACGTGAACGTAACCTGAAAATCCAGAGACAGGAACACAACCACTTCTGATCTGCAATTTGATCTCTTACAGGCATCTTAAACACTGGCTAATAAAACCTCGAAGAAACTTGCCATACTGTTCTGCAATTTGATTCCAGTCAAGTAGAACTTCTTCCTTCCCTTTTTCTCTGCCAAAAAGGCGTGAGAACCAACCCGTTTCTCCATTTTCCAATATCCGACACAAAACCGGGTACTCTTTTCCTTCGGGTATGTATTGCTTATATAGCCTGCTCATATTACATTTACACTTGTCAAACTCTCTCCTTTGCTTCAAGAATCCACATAGCAATATAGGAAAAGACGAAGAATCTAAAAAAATCAGGCAAAAGTTAAGAAAAAGAACGAAATTTTGCGGCGCAAAGATACGAACCATGGTCCCCAACGTTCAGGGGGAGAGGAAATTTCAGTGGGTATGCGGGACGGAAACTAGATCGCTCCGCAGGGCTTCTGTGTCCGCCATGAAAGCTTGGGCGTACGAGTTCTCGCGGTCCAGAAAATCGATGAAATCTGGATCATCAGTGTTCCGCATCCAACGGTAGGGGTCTTGCCACGTCATCCCATGAGCAGAGACCGTTGACGGGATCTTCCTCGGGACAGGAGGAGCTTGCGTTGGTAACGAGAATGTTTCAGTCCGTCGAGCAGAGCATTGCGCCGCCGCCGAGACAGAGGAAGACGATGACGGTGACGACGACATGGCAGGCGTTGACCTCAGTGCTGAGGGCAAAACGGACATTATAGTCCGTGGCTTCGGTCGACGGAGAATCGACGCCGCCGCCATTTTTAGCGTCGCCGAGACCGACGAGTCCCGCGGCGAAAGGGTTACGATTTGAATACAGGGTAGGAGACTAGGAGTAGAGACAAAACCGAACTAAACCAGAGTAAATTCTTGAACCGAACCGAACCGGACCAAAGGTTCAGAAATAGGTATTTGGGCTTAAATAATGGGCTTTGATAAGCTTAGTGTTAAGCCCAAACTAAAGCCTTCCAAATATCCATATCAAGAGAGTTGGACCAGCTTCTTTGGAACGTCTGGATGCTTTATATTTTATTTTATATTATGCAACTTTTCACGTTTGTTTTTCGCTTAATGAATTATAAATTTATAAATATAAAAAAAAGAAAAAAAGGAAAAGGCACCACTTGTAGCAGAAGAAGCCATCACACAAAACGTTCTGCGGAACAAAAGTATTTATGTATCCCACTTGCACTCTCCTTTGCCACGTCATCCCTTAGCTGTATTACATTTTGTAGTTATTACCATGTATGCATCTTCTATACGTCCGCGTGCACGATAGCATTAATATAATAGTGTAAACATTTTATTTTCATTCGTTCACGTTTACTTCCAAAAACATGTAACGAGAGTTATATCATTGTATGTCTATATTCACGATATTATAAGATACGAAAATTGTAAACATTGATAAATAAACCAATTTTTGGTATTGTTGGAAAAAGAGGAACTTGGAAAAGCGATGGAAAAGCTCTCGAAGAAGAAGTTTTTCTTTGTTGTATATTTCTCACACCTGTAAAGTGTTTCTTACATCCTGTATATATACAACTCAAATAAAGGAATAAAAATTAATATTTGTACAATGATCCTTCTATACATCTAAAAAGGTGTTGTAGAGTAGCCTGAGGAGTTGCCCTTGCACCAACGGAATTTTCCTGTGCAGAAAACATGTCGATGCACCTAGCCACAACAGAATTGTCAGAATCATCAAGAACCTGTAAAGAGGTTGTCGGGTAAAACTCCCCCGCAAGATGGAGAATACAAGTTTTGTATTCCCATCTTGAAGAGGAGGTACCGGAATTGATCTGAAGCCAATGGCTTGGTAAGGATGTCAGCCACTTGATCATGAGATCGAACATGAAGAACTTTCAGCAAACCTGTGCCAATGTGTTCCCTGATAAAGTGACAGTCAAGTTGAACATGTTTCGTCCTTTCATGCAGAATGGGATTGCTGGCAAGATGGATAGCCGATTGGTTATCACAGTAAATATTATAAGGCTGAGAACAGGGAATGGACAGGTCTTTAAGCAGATTAGCGAGCCAAATAATCTCACAGGATGTCTGAGCTAAGGCACGATATTCCGATTCAGCACTGCTGCGAGAAACTGTAGGTTGTTTCTTCGATTTCCAGGAAATCATGGAGCTTCCGAGAAATATGCAATAGCCAGTGACAGATCGACGGGTATCAGGGCATGATGCCCAATCAGCGTCTGAGTATGCCTTAAGAGTAAGAGAAGAGTCTGCTGAGTACAAAAGGCCCTGAGAGGGAGAAGATTTCAGGTACCTTAAAACTCTGAAGGCAGCATGGAGATGAGTAGAGCAGGGGCGTGACATGTATTGGCTCAGTTTCTGAACTGAAAAACAAATATCCGGTCTCGTGACAGAGAGATAAATAAGCTTTCCAACTAATTGTCGATAGAAGGAAGCATCAGATAATGGTTCACCAGAATCCCGAGCCAATTTATCACGAGTATCCAAAGGAATTAAAACAGGTTTGGCACCCAATAATCCATACTCTTCCAGCAGCTCTAAGGCGTATTTCCGCTGACATAAGTGAATGCCTTTGGATGATCTTGAGATTTCAATTCCCAGAAAATATCTTGGACATCCAAGATCCTTAATCTGAAAAAGAGTTTGAAGTGAAGCCTTTGTAGAAGAAATCATTTCAGCATCATTCCCTGCCAATAAAAGATCATCCACATACACTAACACAACTGTAATGTAACAAAAGAGGCAAAGAGTTTCTTCCGATAGGTCTCCATTGAGAAAAGCATTAGAGACATCCAACTGAGCAAGAAGCCATTTCTGTGAGGCAGCTAAGGCAAGAACCATTCGAACAGAAGTAAGTTTTGCCACTGGGCTAAAGGTATCCAAATAATCTAATCCTTCAACTTGAGTATACCCCTTTGCTACTAACCGTGCCTTATGGCGCTCAACTGATCCATCAGCATGATACTTGGTTTTGTAAACCCATTTGCAACCCACTGTAGTCTTACCATCAGGAAGAGAACATAATTCCCAGGTCTTGGTACGACACAGTGCCTCAAGCTCACTCTTCATGGCACTTCTCCAAATTTCAGACTTGGAAGCTTGGGTATAAGACTTTGGTTCAAGGGAGGTGAGAATAGATAAGGCAAAAGGTTTGTAAGATGAAGTGAGGTTTGAGTATGTTAAGTATTGTGATAAAGGGTATAAGGTCTGGGATGAATCAGGTGGGGGCTGTCATGTCGGATAAGGTAGCAATGATAATCTGAAAGATAGGCAGGAGGGTTTCTTGTTCGCTGAGATTTGCGAGTGTTCTCATCATATTCAACTATCTGTAAAGTTGGAGGAGTAAAAAAGGAAGATGACTTGGGAGATTTTGAAACTGTGGACTCAGAAGAGGGAGAGGAAAGAGAGGATTCAGTTGAAGGAACTGTAATGGAAGACTCTAAAGGAAAATCAGAAATGGGTGTCTGGGGTGAAACTTCAGGAGGAGAAGGAAGAGAACCTGAAGTAGCTGTTGATGGACCAACAGATGGAGAAGAAGGAGTATCGAAGAAATGATAAGGAGATGGTTGAGGTGGGAAAAACTCCAAAGTAGTGGGAGACAGAGGAGATTTTCTGAAGGGGAACTTGTGTTCATGGAATGTAACATTCCTAGACACTGTAATAACATTTGTCTCTAAATTTAGGACTTTGTAACCCTTGATACCTGGGGGGTAACCAATAAAAATGGAAGGAGATGCCCGTGGAGAGAATTTATGACGGTCTTTGATAAGAGTGGAGGCAAAACATAAACAACCAAAGGTTCTCATGTGTTTGTAAGTGGGTTTAGTGTTTGTAAGGATCTCGAATGGTGTCTTATGATTAAGAACCGGACTTGGTAGTCGGTTGATAATGTAAACAGCGGTTTTAACACACTCACCCCAATAAGATAATGGTATATTCGATTGAAAAAGAAGGGCTCGAGAAACATTAAGAATATGTTGGTGTTTCCTTTCCACAACCGAATTTTGTTCCGGTGTGTAAGGACAAGAAAAGTAATGAGTAATGCCCTTTTTGGAGAGTAAAGATTTGAAAGAAAGTTCAGGTGCATTGTCGGATCGAATGCCTTTAACTTTAACATCATATTGTGTTTCGACATGACTTAGAAAATCTGGAAATGCTGTTAAAACATCACTTTTGGAACAGAGGAGATATAACCAAGTTGTGCGAGAACAGTCATCAACAATGGTTAAAAAATAACGATGACCATCAACGGTGGGTGTATGAAAGGGCCCCCAAGTATCAATATGTAATAAGTCAAAAGGTTTTAGAGACAAATGTCGACCAACAGGAAAACAAGATCGTCTTTGCTTAGCTAAAGGACATATACTGCAATCTGTATTAACAGATGTTGAAGGAACAAAAGACAGAGATGAAGAGGTGCTTGATGCTTGCACTTTGTAGCTAGAGGGGTGTCCAAGACGTTGATGCCAGAGATCAACACTAGAGATTGAAAAAGCTGGAAATGAAGGCAGGGAAAGAGAGAAGGCGTGGTGGATGGCCGAAGTATGTATAAGTTCCGAAAAAGCTCACCCCTCCCAATCATCAAGCCCTGCATAGGGTCCTGAATAAGGCAAGCATCATGAGTGAAAAACACAGTATAAGGATGATGACGGGTTAGGGAACTTATACTGAGAAGGTTAAAACGAAAAGACGGTATGTAAAGAACCGAATGTAGCACCAGGAATTTAGAGAGAGTAATAGTGCCGGATTGAAAGACAGACAACAGGGAGCCATTTGGGAGAGTGACAGATACAGGAGGGGTAGGGCGAATATCAGAGAACAACCTCAAATCACAGCAAACATGAGAACTCGCTCCGGTGTCTATAATCCAGAGGTTAGAGGTATGTATATCAGGGTCAAGGAGAGATAAAAAAATGAGGAGAAAAGGAAATGGGAGATTTACCTGGTGTAAGGTTTGTGGTGGATTCAGTAACAGCAACCGAGTCTGAAATTTTGGAGGAAGAACCTAGAAGTTTAAGCTGAGACTGAAAGTTGTCGAACAAGGCTTGGGCCTGGGCCATGGTGCTTAGTGATGCGTCAGACGTCATACTGGGCTTGGACTGAAGGCCTGACTCAGAAACAACCAGATTAACAGGGTTTGACAGGTTGGAGTCCATACCTGACCTAGGTGTCGGCAGGAGAGGCGGCTGAGATGAGCCAAATGATCGAGAAGATGGCGGATACCCATGCAGTTTGTAGCAGCGATGAATTGTATGTCCTTTCAAGCCACAATGTGCACATACGGGACGAGGTTTCCCTTGAGATAGAGGGGTAAATCTGCTCCTGGGAAAACGTGATGCCGAGGCTTGAAAAACGACAGGGTCAGTGGAGGAAGAACGAACCTGACGTTGATGTTCTTCCTGAGACACCAGATTGTAAACCTTGGAAATACTCGGAAGAGGCTCCAGCATGAGAATCTGGCGTCGAGCAGGATGATATGATTCGTTGAGCTTCATCAGAAACTGGACCACCTTACGGCGTTCAACCAGTTCGACGAACTGGGCATTTGCGTGACACGAGCAACCGCCGCAAGAGCAAATCGGGTATGGCTCATAATTTTTCAGCTCTTCCCAAAGAGTGTTCAGCTTCGTATAAAACGTGTTGAGATCTAAAGCTCCCTGTTGGAGGGACTCTATCTTCTGCTCCACATTAAAGATTTTCGATACGTTCTTCTGTTTGTATTGGGTTTCCAGAGTATGCCAAATAACGTCTGCCTCATCCAGGTAGAGGATCAGACTCCCGATTTCAGAAAGATTTTCGATACGTTCTTCTGTTTGTATTGGGTTTCCAGAGTATGCCAAATAACGTCTGCCTCATCCAGGTAGAGGATCAGACTCCCGATTTCAGAAGAAACAGAGTTAGCAAGCCATGTGCTTACTAAGGCATTACAACGCAACCAAGCTCCATAGTCGGAGTGGGTTTCAGGGGGCTTTGGAATCGTACCAAAAATGAAACCCAGTTTGTTTTTCGTCATCAAAGCCTTGATAACAGAGCGGGACCAAAGATTATAGTTGGATTCACCTTGCAATTTCTCAGAAACAAGGATGAAACTGGAGGAATCCGCAGCATGAAGAAAAAGAGGGTTGGCATACGGATCGAGATTTTGAACAACGGAGGTTTGTAAAAGAGAGGGGGAAGAAGGATCTGGGTTTTGAAGAACAGAGGGTGGGTGATTTGCAGATGGAGTGTCGGAGGTAGAAGAGGTGTGAGAAGGGGTTTGATCAGCCATAGCTTAGAAGAAAAAGAGGCTTGAGAGAGAAGGAGAAAAAAGGAAACGAAGGAAGATAAAAAAAAATTAGGTTTGCTCTGATACCATTTTGGTATTGCTGGAAAAAGAGGAACTTGGAAAAGCGATGGAAAAGCTCTCGAAGAAGAAGAAGTTTTTCTTTGTTATATATTTCTCACACCTGTAAAGTGTTTCTTACATCCTGTATATATACAACTCAAATAAAGGAATAAAAATTAATATTTGTACAATGATCCTTCTATACATCTAAAAAGGTGTTGTAGAGTAGCCTCAGGAGTTGCCCTTGCACCAACGGAATTTTCCTGTGCAGAAAACATGTCGATGCACCTAGCCACAACAGAATTGTCAGAATCATCAAGGTTACCTGTAAAGAGGTTGTCGGGTAAAACCAATTAATAGATGAAGAATGCAAAACAAGAAACGGGAGGCAATGGAAAAAAGATGGGGACAGGACAGAAGGGTATAATAAAGAGACGTGTGTCCGAGAGAATGAATATATGGTTGGGGGAGCATCCGTTGCCATTGGGCCAATGGACCGGTCTCGTGAGAGAGCTTCCAATCAATTATTATTACTATTATTGTTGTTATGAAATGTGTCATTTCGGTTTATGATACGGATTATTGATATTTTATTGTTGTGTATATTGAATATACAGTAGAGGACCAGCCTCGTAGATTTGGGTCTTGTCCCTTTCCACTTGATACAACCCCACTTGCGCAGCATTTTGGAGATTTATCCATATCTTTCTTGATTGCTACAGCTTTTGCTCTCTCTATATATGTATATATATAATACATATAGGTGTATAATTTAGAATGTTTTGTAACTATATCTCGTTTGAGCTATATACGCAATATAACTTGTAATATGTGTACATATATATTTGATGCGGTGGTAGCGTTACATAAACCATTACCATTTCTTCACCGAAAACCCAAAAAAAAAAAACTATTACCATTTAGTTTCATTTTTATGATTTTAGGTTTTTCATGAATATGGTGATGTGTCATTTTATAACGAGATGCCACTAAGTTATTCCACATGATACATATAATTTAATCTATGATTCATCCATGTTGTCATGCAAATTGTCTCAATGCGAAGATATAGTATTATTATTCACATATATATATATATATATATATATATATATATAATATGAACTCATGCATGAAAAATATTAATCTTCGGGGAGCGAGTCTAGCTAGCTACATGGTTTACGTAGGTCAAAATTTTGATTATATAAATAAAAGCATGTTTACCATATCGTTTAGTTTATATATATATATAAAAAAAAATTTTAAAATCGGAGGGAGAGAGGGCAGACAAAGACCGGTGTGCGCATAACATAAACCACTACGGCGTTAGCAATTTTAGGGTTTCATTGGTCAATTAGCCATTATTGCAGGATTTGATGGTCAACTTGCCATTTTTGGTGTCCCATCCACATTTGTATTATAAAAAAATAATCTTGAGAATTCAAACAAAAAATAAAAAATAATAATAAGGCTCTTTTTAAATAAAAAAACAAATGACGAAAGAAATCTTGCATTAGATACGTTTCCCTTATCTATTAAACAATATATTTGTTCGTTAATTTTTTGTTACACGTGTATATTTCTAAGCTTCGTCATTAAAAAACCCTAAAATGTAACAAAAGAGGCAAAGAGTTACGGGGAAAAGAAACTCGAAACGGTTACGTCATTGATTACTGAAAATTAAATGAAAATTGTTGAATAAGCATGTTGTGGACCAATCAATCGCTAACAACGAACATGTTAATGCTTTACCAAAATAGAAAGAATATCGACTAATATTGGTCGCACATTTATACGAAAAAGCTGCATCACGCATATCGTAGGGGTGGGTATTTCGGTATTCGATTCGAATTCGGATCTGAAATGATTTGGTTCGATTCTTTGAGTTTTACATAAATATCAATCGGTTCTTATATTATATTCGGTTTATTTCCAATTTGATTCTAGTTTTTATTTAAAAAATTAGATCTTTTTCAAAAAAGTTTCTGGGTTTTTAGATTTAAAAAAAAAATGATTTTGAAAATTAATATCGTTTAAAAATTTAAAATAATTCAGATAAAAAAAAATCATATTTTTCGGTTCGATTCTTGTCATCCAATGACCAACAATATATATATATATAATGAGGACTTTTAAATAAATATTTTTCCCGAAAAAAGTGGGCACGTTTGTCCACGTCAGAATGTCAAACCGGGTATCGGCGTTTTACAGCTTTGTCTGACGTGGCTCACGTCCCTTCGTATTACACTCTTTTATTTTTAGGATCAAATCCATATTGTACAAGTTTATTACAGTATTAATTAATATTAAAATTCTGAATTCACGAAAAAATGGTGGCCCGACAACAATAAAATAAAAAAAATGGAAATAAATATGATACACACGTGACACGTGCGTGACTGCCATCCTGGCTCCACATGAAATTCTGACTCACGGGTCTGCCTCACGTCGCGTGCGACTTTGCTTTAAATATTCCACTAATTCTGGCTTTAATAAATCCAAAAGGATGGAAAAAAACATTAAGCTTTAAATTAAACCCAGTAGATTTTAAAATTGGAATAAAAATTGATTTTCCAGAACTTTTCAGTTTCTGATTTTTTTTTCTTTTAATTCTAATGTTAGGTTTATTCATTTGCTAAAAAAACTAATTTTCTTTTGAGATTTTTAAAATTTTTAAAAATAATAATGAAATTCTGGGTGTAATTAAGGGGATTTATTTTTTTAATAGCTGTTCCCAAGCGAAGAGGCGGTGGTCTGTTCCCGTGTGGTTGACCGTTGACTCGTATAGTATATTGAGCAGTGATTAACTCTGACTATGGTTAAGCAGGTCTAGTTAGTTATTTGGCTGACAGTTGCCATGGCAGTTAGTGCGTGCTTAAGCATGGATTAATTATATAATATTTTGAAGTAAACTAATTAAATTCGATTAAAAGGAAAAATAGGGTTATGGAATTTCATGAAGAATCTAATGGATCCCTAGCCTGAAAGCTATGATTGGATTAGGCCTAGCTTTGAGTTGTTTGGGACCAGACTATCAACTCGATTACCGAAATTGGAATTAATTAATATATTAACCTAATTTCTCCTACAACGATTGCACGTAATTAAATCATTCAACCGTTATTGTCCAAATGATTACACAGCTCCGACAACAAAAAAAATTGAAACGACAATATGTTCACACATCCTGTCTAGATATCAATTGTTATCGATGTCGACGAATTCTCGTGGCCATGATTGAAAAGTATTGTAAATACATATACACATATATGTTTAGACGAATTTTTTTTTTTTTAAAAAAAGTGACAATTGATGATTATTACATGACTTGGAGATATGATGTTTACGTTTGTATCCGCATACACATATTGGAAACCAATCTGTAATGCCACTTTGTTCGTACAAAATTTATCGGGGCCTTTAACATTTTTCCAAACATTATAATTTTTTTTTTGGTCACCCAAATACACAAAATAGGGAAAAAAATATTCATATAATTGTTTTTTTTTTCATACGTCTCTGAATTTGTTTGGCATTCGGAAAAATATTTTATGAACATAGTTGTATTTAATCCAATATCTCGTTGTTACGCCAATCTAATTTAATTAAATTATATTTTACAAGTCTTGATTAAAAAAATCGTATTTTTTATTGTAGTTATTTACTTGACATCATTCGACTTATCGAAATTAAGCAAATAATAACCGTATACTACAATGTGTGTATATATATATGTATATATATATAATTATAGTTTCGGTGAAAGGAGGAGATTTGTTGTGTGACATGAAATCTCGAGTGAAAGTAAAAATCCAATCATCTAATATTTTTTCGAGTTAAATTAATGGATCGGACGGATTTTAGGTCGGATTCGATTCGGACCTGAATTTTTTCGGGTGGGTCGGCCTGGCCATTTATTTATCGGATCTATATTATTAGACCTAAACCCTTAATTTTTCAGACGGGTATAAGATCGGATTTGGGGCTTCGGTTTTATTGACAACCCTATTTCTATGCGATGTTACGCGGCTTTGTCTATGGAACTTGGATATGTGAAATATAATGCGAATACTCATAAGATTTCACTTACTCCCCCACTCAACTCTGTCTTTTTATTCGTCCGTTATCATTAATTTGTTCAACCTTTTTACCAGGAAAGTGCGCAGTAACAGTAGTTTGATTGGACACACACACATATATGTGTATATATATATATATATTACGTTGTAATATATGCATTTTGCATATTTTACGTGACATCATCAGATGAAGTCATTCCTTGTCATTCTATATGTTCTTGGTAAAATAATATGCACATTATATATTGTTATAAACCTTATGTATTTGCATATATATCGCGCGAGCTAAAAGAGACACTGTCAGAATTTTCTGTATAATTATGGTTTGATCCAAATTCTTTTAACGTATTTTTGTCCATGTTATATACATGTATATCACATTTTTTTAACTTTATTCTTATACTAGAGAATCTAATTCAATGGATGGGAAAGAGACTATGATATATATTGAATCCGTTCAAAAACATATATATATACACGGACGATTATTGAAGAATGACCAAGTTAGAAGAAATTCAATATGTTTTTGAAATGCGAATGAGAACAAAATGTTTATTATTATTATTTTTTAAATGCCATGCATCGAGCCTATACAGAAAATAACACATATCATAATATGTGGGTCAATACACGAAGAACAAAAACATGGAAACTAAAACTATATTTTTATTAAAAGAAACATTTGACCAAAAAAAGACGACAAAAAACAAAATCTCAGTGCGCATAAGGTATCTAGCCCAAGTCCAGTCGTGTATATGTAACGGTATACGTGAGTGTATATACGTGTAGATACATACATACTTCGAGCCACGAGCTGAATCTCGACAAGACAAAACCAAATAAATGTTTTAATTATTGAAGAAGAGTACTGTCACATACACGTCAATTCGATTCGGACAAAGATATGTACCGGTTTTAGTTAACTGTTGTCGACACTGTCCGAAAGCAAAACTGCTCTCGATTCACTATACGATACGTTATTCAATGTTCGCGTTTTGTGTGTTCTTACACTATTCCTTTGGATTTTGCAGTGGTGAAATTAGCCCTGCTATTGAAAATTTTGCCCCCGTCGTTATAATCACATGTAAGGGAGAGGTTCACCGGGTGAAGATGGGGTGCAGTGGCAGGGGATCGTAGCCCGCAGAGGTCACATGGGGGTGAGGCAATTTTTGCCAAACGCATGTGACCGCATCTACCTTTCCTACTTCATTCAATTTTCTACTTCGGCCGCTGCTTGTTTTCATTTCTTTTTTTTTAAATATATATATTTAAAAAAAAACAACTTAACCCTTCTCTCTGGTCCTTTTCCAACTCTGGTTACGCTACTGCTCCGTACGTGGGGTCGTTTTTCTATTTCGATAAAAAAAAAATTATTATATGAAATACGGCTGGTGTCATTAACAAAATCTGAATTTTACGGTAATATTATAAGCCTTGTAGGTTTTTTATTCTCAAACCAATTTTGGGGTTTCGTGACGTTTTTCATGTCTTTATGAATATTATAGCGATCAACATGAAACATCGCAACAGCGGTCGAATGGGAATGTAAAAGATTTCCTGCTCTCTCATTGGAACATATACGTGAAATGATGACATGGAATAAGCAGTACACACAATGATAGGATGAAAAGACATAATGTAAAAATAGACGATATCATATAGGAGAGGGTAATAATGATATTAGGGTTTGGTGAGGAACCAGAAATATATGAATTCGGAGTGGGGATCGCATACATTAAATCAAGGTCTTCTTGTATAGTTTCCTAGTTTCTTACATTACATTTCTTTGCTAAATTTTTCTTTTTTTTGGTTTTTCTGCTAAAAATATTATCATAAACATGTTTTGCATAACAAATATGTAATAATAGAGTCATTTTTTAATGGGTTTAATTTCTTATGTTTACCTGATGTATAAATACAGACTTTGACGATATTTTATTCTTTAATGAAAATCAAAAAGGTTTCACAAAATCCCTCGCTCTCTTTTTCCTCTTTCTGATTTTCAAATTACAAAACGCAAAATGGTATCATAGCACCGACAAATCCTCTTTTCTTTTCGTTTTTTATTTGTTCTTTCGTTTTCGATCATCGATTTTTTATGTCGACTGATTTCAGTTCGTCGATTCAAGAAAATCTAGCTCCGGATAATCCTTCTTCGTCAGCAACTGCGTCGGTTTTAGATCCATATTTGAATCCGCTATTTCTTCATGTAGCTAACACATCTAGCTTGAATTTGATCTCTGAGAAGCTCGTCGATGAGTCTAATTATAATGTTTGAGTCTAATTACAATGTTTGGGCACGCTCTCTGTTGAGGACCTTGAATTTGAAGAACAAGCTTGGATTCATCACATGTACTGCTTCTCGACCTCCACCTGAGCATCCTGACTTTGTGACCTGGTCTTGATGTGATGATCTAGTTAGTACGTGGATTTGCAATTCTTTAGCTCTAGACATTTCGAGTTTGGTAGTTTCCTTGGATTCTGCAGCTCAGGTTTGGAAAACCTTAGAGCGTCATTTTAAACAGAACAATGTTTCGAAAGTTTTCAATATTCAGCAGAAAATAGATACACTACATCAAGGATCCATGGATTTAAGAACGTATTATACGAAGCTCAGTCAACTTTGGGAGGAGCTGAGGAATTTCGAACCAGTTCATGTATGCAATTGTCGTGGATGTACTTGTGGAGGTTGCACCTGCAATTATCAACAGAAGTGGCTTGAATTTTATGAGTGTCGTAACGTTGTTCGGTTTCTGATGCGACTTAATGAAGGATATCATTTGGCTCGGCGTCAGATTCTGATGCTTGATCCGCTTCCAGATCTGTCGAAGGTCTATAGTTTGTGTGCTCAGGAAGAACAACAACGCTTGAATTTACATCATCCTACAGATCAAGCAGTATTTCAGGCTTCTGCATCTGGTCCGAGGCCTCGATCTTTTTCACCTTCTTCTAATGGTGTTCCTCGATCCTTTGCACCGTCTATACCTTCAGCTGGTGGACCTCGACCTCGACCTCGTCCTGTATGTACACATTGTGATCTTACAGGACATACAGTCAATCGTTGTTATAAAATCTATGGATATCCACCAGGATCAAAGTCATCATCTCCCAATACTCAGACTAATTGGAATTAGAGGCCACAGTTTTATAACAAGCCACGTCTTCAATATGTTGATACACATTCTGTTAATATGGTGAAAAATTCGTCTGGTTTGGAGGGGCAGCCTGTTGCTATGGTCAATAATGCTTTTAATTCAAATCAGAATGCATTGGAGCAAGCACAAGCATTGTTAGCACAACTCTCAACTCAAATCAAGGGACCTAGCTCTTCATCCATTACTTCATTGTTGTGAAATCTCATTGTTCTCAAATCTTAAACAGATTTCTCCGATAACTATTACTTTGCCTGTTGGCACAACATTTTCTATAACACAATCTGGCACAATCAATATTTCTTCTTCCTTGGTTTTGACAGATGTGTTATTTGTACCAGCTTTCGGTTATAATCTGTTGAGTGTGAGTGCTTTAACCAAAAACAATACTATTTCTTTAACTTTCACATCTGATTCTTGCATTCTTCACGACCTTACTCAGGCCTTGATGATTGGCAAGGGTAAGATGCTTCACAACCTATATATTCTGGATATAGACTCTTCAATCCAGACATCTCCTTCATTCTTTCAGCCTCCACTTTGTTCTGCACTCACCTCAGCCCCCCTTGATCTTTGGAATTAAAGACTAGGGCATCCATCATTCATTCGAATACAGTCTCTTCGAAAGTCTGCTCAGCTGTCTTTTACACCAGTTTCTAATGATTTTACTCATTGTGATGTATGTCCTAAAGCAAAACAAAAACATCTTGTATTTCCTTCTTCGGATCATATGTCTGAAAAACCTTTTGAACTTGTGCATTTGGATGTTTGGGGTCCATTTCATTTGTCTACTTCTGATGGTCATAGATATTTTTTCACACTTGTTGATGATTGTACACGATTGGTTTGGGTGTACTTGCTGGTTAATAAAAGTGATGTTCAGTCCAAGTTTTAGGATTTTGTTGCTTTCATTGAAACACAATTTGATTCAAAACTAAAGGCCATCAGAACTGATCATGCTCCCGAGTTGAACTTTACTGATTTCTTGGCAACCAAAGACATTTTTCATTATCGCTCTTGTCCATATACATCTTAACAAAATTCTGTTGTTGAGAGAAAACATCAACATATTTTAAATGTTGCTAGAGCTTTGTTTTTCCAGTCAAATATTCCTTTGGTTTATTGGGGAGATTGCATACTTACTGCAATTTATCTCATAAATAGGACTCCAACACCTCTTCTTGACTTTAAAACTCTTTTTGAGAAACTCACTAATGTTAAACCTGAATACGAGCATTTAAAAGTTTTTGGGTGTTTATGCGATGTTTCTACACAACTCAAGGACAGACATAAGTTTTCACCGAGAGCTCAAGCAGCTGTTTTTTTAGGATATCCATCTGGTATGAAATGATACAAAGTTTTAATTCTTGAAACTCAGAAAGTGGTGTTTTCTCGGCATGTAGTTTTTCATGAGACTGTGTTCCCTTTTCGTTCTTCTATTTCATCTTCTCAATCTGATTTTTCTTCCTCTGTTTCTCCTTTTATTCTGTATGATTCTGATTCAGCTTCACCTTCAGTACCAGATCAAGTACATTCTCCTACACTTGATTCTGTTTCTACACAAAGTACATATTTTTTTTCTTCTGATCATTCCCCTGTTTCTTCTTCATCAGATTCTATACTTGAATCTATTGAGAATCTAGATACTAAGAACAATGAGAGACCACACAGACTTGTGAAACCACTTGGTTATCTTGCAGATTATCATTGCTATTTGTTACACCATCAAACACCACCTCCCATACAGCCCTAAACGCCTTACCCTTTGTCCTATGTTTTTTCCTATGAATACTTATCCCCTGTTTACAGACGTTTGGTCTGTTCTACTTCTGTTATTCCTGAACCTAAAACCTATTCTCAAGCTGTAAAATGTGTGGAATGGAAGAAGGCTATGTTACTTGAACTTGAGGCTCTGGATCGGACTAAAACCTGGACTGTTTGTGAGTTGCCTCCGGATAAGCATCCTATTGGTTGCAAGTGGGTGTTTAAACTAAATTCAACCCTGATGGATCTGTAGAACGCTACAAGACTCGTTTGGTAGCAAAGAGATATATACTCAACTTGAGCGGATAGATTACTTGGAGACTTTTAGTCCGGTTGCTAATGCATTCTGAAAAGTGGTGGATTCATCAGTTGGATATTTCTAATGCATTCTTAAATGGTGACTTAGTTGAAGAGATTTATATGTCATTACCACCAGGGTATGCTTCTCTTAAGGGGGAGAATATACCTTCTCATCATGTTTGCAAGTTATAGAGATCACTTTATGGGTTGAAGCAAGCTAGCAGACAGTGGAACATCAAATTGACTGAAGTTTTGGTTGCTGTTGGTTGTATCCAATCTACATCAGACACTTCTCTTTTTATCAAAAGACGAGATAGTTCTATTGTTGCTATCTTAGTCTATGTTGATGACATTTTGGTTACTGGTAATGATGTTTCTTTAATCTCTGAAGTAAAGGATGCTCTTCGGTCACAGTTTCAGCTCAAGGATTTGGGTGATTTGAAGTACTTCTTGGGCTTGGAAGTGGCGAGATCTTCACAAGGTATTTCTGTTTGTCAACGTGGAATTACTTGAAGATCATGGGTTGTTATGTTGTAAACCTGCTTCTACTCCTATGGAGTTTCGACAGAAACTTTCAGAATCTTCTGGTGAATTGCTTGATGATCCTCTACCTTACAGAAAGCTTATTGACAAACTGATATACTTGTCTATCACTAGACCGGATATTAGTTTTGCTGTTACAAAACTCAGTCAATATATGTATGTACCTAGATCAGATCATTTTCAGGCAGCGACAAGAGTGTTACGTTATTTGAAAGGAGTTCCAGCTCATGGCTTGTTGTTCTCTGCTAATAATGAGCATCGTCTTAGTGCTTATTTGGATGTTGATTGGGCAGCATGTGTAGATTCACGTAGATATGTGACTGGATATTGCATTTTCCTTGGCAGCTCTTTAGTTTCTTGGAAATCGAAGAAACAAGCAACCATTTCCCGGAGCAATGCCGAGTCGGAGTATCGAGCTATGGCACAAACCACATGTGAGTGGGTCTGGTTGTCTTCTCTTTTGCGTGATCTGAATTTTCCATTTCCACAGCTGTCACATTGTTCTGTGACAATATGTTCGCCATTCACATTGCCAACAATGCTGTTTTTCACGAGCGAACCACGCATATCGAGCTGGATTGCCACTTTCTTCGAGATCAGTACAAGGCTGGATTTTTGAAACCATTACATGTCTCTACTAAGGATCAGATAGTTGATGTCCTTACGAAGCCTTTGTACGTGGATCATTTTCGGCATTTACTTGGCAAGATGGGTCTTCACTCTTTATTCGTCCCATCTTGAGGGGGAATAATAGAGTCATTTCTTAATGGGGTTAATTTCTTATGTTTAGCTGATGTATAAATATAGACTTTGGCGGCATTTTATTCTTTAATGAAAATCAGAAAGGTTTTACAAAATCCCTCGCTCTCTTTTTCCTCTTTATGATTTTCAAATTCCAAAATGCAAAATGTAAATCTAAAATGCTTTGCCACGAATTACCGAAAGAATATAAGATTATAAGGATTTTTTTTCATCTTTGTAAAATTATAATTCAAAACGTATTTTGGATTTTTGTGGACGAGTTAGTAAATACCTTTTATTGAGAATAAAAACCCACAATTGTGTTTCAGCATTCATTCTGATCAAAAGCATTTGTAAACAAAAGAATTAATAAATCAAAACATCTAGCGATAATCGTTTCAAATGAATCGATATTGTATGTATTAATAAACTTATGTATAGTTATATCTAGGGCTAATATATACATCAACGGTTTCGACACATTAGTATATGTATGTAATAATTGCTTGTAAGATAACGATATAATTAATTTACTTCGATCATGTGGGATTCTGAAGTTGTCACTAAAATCTTTATGGGTTGGTTTCATGAAATTATGTGCGTAGATTCCCGAGTCACATGGATCGTCACCATACCCTGCACCAAAACCACAATTGATCTTTGCAATTTAATTAATTCTTTAATTAGTTAATGCAAAAACCATTTGATTTTTTTTTATAGTTTATAGTTTCTGACTAATCTTACTTTAATCTTGACCAATAGGCACGTGACACGTACGTGCCATTCCCCAAAGTATGCATGCATGGCTTTGGTGTATATAGCATGAGACCCCCCATTTGTATAAATTTTTTGGTAATAACTATTTGTATATATGTGTGTGTGCATAGTGATCTGTCAATATATATATGTTTCCCCATCTATTTTCCTTAAAATATGTACACCATTTTGTAATCAATAATTAGATACATGCATTACATTTAGACATACCTAAAATAAATTCTAAAATTTCGCTTACATTATATGATCTAACGCTAGATGTGTTATTGATCACAGATCCAAAGGTCTCAAAGGGGATAAGATGGAGTTACAAAAACAGTGGTTCTAATAATAATAATAATAATGTAAGATTGGTAATAACAATTTATAATTAATTTGTCCAAAACAGAACACTAACCATACGCGGAGATGCGATATTTCCAAACGTCTTGACCTTTGACCAGCCCTTTCTTTTTCCCTATCTTGCCATATTTCAGACAATTAAAAATACCTAACTCCTCCCATATTCACCCATTTCCCAACCATAATTTCCAATTTAACCTAAAAAAGAAAAATATCCAATTATATGCTTATATATATATATATATATATATATATGCCCTTTTCAGTTCTTATCCATATGTATTCCTTCTTATGTTCCAAGACAGATAACAAGCACTCGAGTTTTGACCTAGAACAAGAATAAAAGAAGCTAGAAGATCGAAGGGTTGGGCATCAATGGCGGATTCATCAGGGCATGGAGGAGATCATTTTCCGGGTTTCGATACAAGCTTTCACAAAGACGAGTTTGTCTTCAGACGATCTCTGAGTTGTCGGCTTCAGAGACGAGCGCCTTGTCCTCTTCTTCTTCCCCCCAAGCCATTATCGTCTTCTTCTTCTTCTTCTTCGACGGCGGCGATGGTGGCCGGAGTTTCGCCGGCGTTTGGTTCGATGTGTCAGAACAACAAAGATCCGATCCCTCTCTTGTCTCCTCTTGTCTTGCCTTCCATGCTTCAACTGAATCCTACATCTCATTAAGACATATTCGTTTTAATTATCTCCTCTCTAGTTAGGTTTATGTTTCTGTGAGATTGGCTTGTTTTGCATCTTTTTCTTCTTTAATTTCTCTGCCTTCTGATTTTCTCCCTTCTAAATTTCTTTGGATTTCTCACGAAATTTGCGATTTTTTGGCAAGTTCCATTCAACCTGAATGTTACAAAAATTGAATTTTACACCATATTTGTGTAATAAAAAGATCTGGGAAAGTTCTAACATTAATTCAAAATTATATACAATATTTGGAATGCTATTTATTTTGTAGTCAAAACAACTTAGAGATTTGTCATTGAAATCTACGTTTCCTATATGATTTCAACAATATTTTTATAATTATTTGTATGTATATATATATATATATAAATATATATCACAATCTGATAACGAATTTTGACATTACAAACAACATCAAGATCTGGGTGAAAAACACACACAATTGCTGACCAAAAAAAAAAACCTTCATGAAACTGTAGGCCCAAGTGTCTCTGGATTTTTATGGGTTAGCCCACATTAGTCTATGGGCTTTAATTTTAATATTTAGAATATGTATTTTGGATATATAGAATACTACTGGGCTTCAATTTATACAGTAGACAATGTCATATTATAAATATCTCACTATCTCATACAATATTATTGGGTATGGGTCCATATGAAAATGTTGATTCTGTTTTTAAATATTTCATCTTACGCCGGTGTCTATAATATAGTCAGTGAAAAATTAACCTAGTTACAAATCCTGAGCCAACCATTATAAAAAAAAAATATTTGCAATCAATATTTTGGGACATTATAGTCCAAGAAAGACATACTTTAACGTTGATATGTTTATTACACATAATTTTACGCATTATATTTTCTCCTTTTAGGCAACATAAAAATGTTCCTTTCGAATCAAAACTCGTGCCCAATTAGAACGAATTCGATGTTTATAAAAACTAAAGGGCCAGTGATTTCTCAGAAATGATTTAAGGGGCGAATTCGAAGATTATAAACACTAAAGGGATATATGTGTAAAGACTAAATTAGAGCCTATCTGACAGGGTTTCGTGGAGAAAGAAATCGACCAATCACCTCACGCCTTGTCGATCGCCTATTCGTCTGTTACGCTGTAAATCGTTCTGTCATGTTATCGGAAAGAGAAATATTCCTTTGGAAAGAGTGGACAATTCTTATTCGAGTTCATGTGAATCTCTCTCACGTTTTATTTAGTTTCCCCCCACAAGAGAAATGTTAATTCGTGCAATGCCATCAGCGAAAACTTCAGAAATACACTTTCACCATCATTTCTTTGATACACGAGTAAAATAGAACAAATTAAAAATTGACTTTATCCCTAAATCTAGAAAAGTCTTATCGTGTAGAAAAATAACAAACGTACAGAGACATACAATATATATTTCAAATGGATACACAACTCACGAAATAAAGAGCAATTTATAACCTCGATTCATTTTTATACATCGTCGTTGTAAGCGAGGTTGTGACTTGTCATCGATTTTATGAGTTCATTTTTTATATTAGAAATTAACGTCTAATTTATATATTAACGTTAGAGTAAATATTGATAATTGTCATCGATTTCATAAGTTAAGATATCTATTAGGAAAAATTTATCATTTGAGGTATCAATTTGGAATATTTTAACATTTGATATATCAATTAGATTAGATTAAAAGTTTAGGTATTTATTTAGTACATTTTATAAAGTTAGGGTACTTATATGAGATTTTTCCATGAATATATTAGTAAATGATTTTGATATGTACATTTGAATATACTCCTTTTGGTTGAAGATTGATGAACTCCCCAAACCAGAATTCTACTACGCGTTTGATGATATGAGTAATATATCAAGCAAAGTATCATCAAAATGTTTTTACATAAAAGTTATGGATTTTTTAGAAAATCATAAGGTTGTTGAGCAACTTGAATTTTTTGTACAACGGTCGCAACTATAAGGTATATCTTCCACATAAAAAATAAAAAAGAAGAAAACATTGAAGATGAATTTAATGGTGGTACTCATAAATTGAGCTGTCAGAACGAAGAAAGATAATGAATTGTGGTTCGTGCTTAATGGAGTACCAATTCGGGACTCATTGTCAGAATATGCAATTCTTTCAGGCCTGAATTGTAATCTATTGCCGAAAAACTTGGAGGACATCGGTGAGATTGATTTCTACATAATGCATTTTGGGGAGAAAAGTTATGAGAAAAACAAATATTACGAAAAACGTTTGTTGAATTGTCTATAGATGAAGTATAGGAAAAGTATAAGATGGTTTATTTGGTGTTGTTAGTTATGTAACATGACACCAACACAATGACGTCGTTAATCCATTTCTGCTGAGGATCACGATGGTTTAAATTTTATTTTTGCTAATTTTTTATCCACAATGGTTTAAATTTTATTTTTGCTAATTTTTTATTTACACACCTCGAATACATGAGGGATGCGCCTTCACCTTGTGCCTTGCGCCTCGATTTTTTAGACCTTTTGCATCTTGAGCCGCCTCGCACTTTTTTAAACCAAGGTCCATGCTTAGATTTTAGATAAAGAACACACGAAAATTTAAATGTGAAATAAAAAATGAATTTTGGATCCAGATCGACCCGGTCCAGTCTAAAAAAAAAGAAAATTTATTTTTTTAAAAAATAATAAATAAATTGTGACAACCCAGAGTACCGTAGGAGGGCGGGGAGTGATCGCCGGTGCCGGTGCAGAGGCACGGACAAGGGGCGGCTCCTGACGAGCTTCTGGGTAGGGGTATATGGATGAATCGAACACACCGGAATGAGAGAGATCCGAGGGCTGTATAGGTATGGAACTATACGGTCTAAGATAACATAAAAAAATTAGTTGAGCTACTCATAGCAACAAGGTGCACCTATCTTTTTGGTTGACTATCCCGAGAGAACTCCAAAGTTAAGCGTGCTGGCTCTGGAGCAATCTCAGGATGGGTGACCTACTGGAAAGTTTTTCGGTATGCGTGCGAGTGAGGACAAAACACACTGAAAGGTCTCGGGTTGCTGTGTGAGGGCAGTTTCGACAATTCGTAGCGGCCTCGGGTCGTTACATAAATAAAACAAAAGGATCGGACGATCTAGAAACTAGACCGATCCGGTCTGGCAAAAAATAATAATAATAATAATAATAATAATAATAATATAAAAAAATAATTAATAAATAAATAATGGGAGAGATGATCCAGAAATTGGACCGACTCGGTCTAACCCTAAAGTCAAAATTTAACCAAAATATGACTAAACTCGGTTCGAACCGGACCATACGTAGTTCGAACCAATCAATACGACCGGGTAAGTATCAATCTTGAGACGAGCCGAACTGGTAATTCGGATGGGGCAGAACCTAGTTTGATCGGATCGATGATTTAAAGATTAAATAAATCATAAAAATCTATATATATTAATAAAAGAGTTTAAAGAGATTTGGTGAAGACACCTAAGCATTCACCTCATATCTATGTGACAAAATTTTAATTATCATTGATAAATTAATAATATCCAAATAAATTATAATAATAACAGTTTTAAATGCTGAACGTTTTTCCAATACCTCCCACTTCTCTCATATTATTATAAGAAACGTTTCTTTCATTTATATATAATCCCACTCTTCTCATATTATTAATTATAATCAATGCCTTAATAATAACTCATTTTTGTGTTAATACTATATATATATATATATATATGTTTCGTATTTCATTCATCTACCAAATCTTGAGCGCATCCCTTAAAAAAAAACCGTAGACCACAGATATTTTTCCTTCTCCATTGTACGTCTATATTTGTGGTCCACGGATAGAAGAGATCACCTCAACGTCATGGAGAAGGACAGAGGAGATGGAATACGACATAAAAGGCGAAGACTGTGAGACGTGCAGGAAGGAGTGGATCGTTTTGTGCGATGAGTGCAAGTCCTGCAAGTTGGGTTTCATTAGAAGTCTTCCCGGCAATAGTGGAAGCTCGACGTCTTCTGCATTATACATGTTTTTTATCTTTTCATTTTCTACATTATTTGTATTTTCATACCAAACAAAATATTACGTACTAAATAAACAATCAACTCATTTTAAAATAATTTTAAAACGTAACAAACTTCTAAATTATTGCAACCAAGTAAAAGACAAAATAAAATATTAATTATTTTTATTTTTATTTTTATTTAATACACTTACTATTTGTGCTTAAACAAAATCATTTCTTCTCTCCTTTGTTCAAAGTTATATATATAAAAGTTGGATTTAGAGTAATATGGTGAAGCCACCTCATCATCCTATATGGTTTTTTTTTTTTACAATTTGATTAGTTTATAAAAATCCTCATTAGCTACATCAACATCCAATAAATATTTAAAATTAAAAATGTCATAATAAATTCTTCTATATTATATAAAATATCTATTATGAAATTATTTAATATATTATTGAGATTTTTATTTGATTATATTTATATTTTAAAATTTTTTTTTATCTTGATGCTTTTATCTTAATAAAAATAACAAAATAAAATATCACATAAAATTTTTCTTTTATGATTTAACATTAGTTTATATATTATATTTAAAATGTATTTGTTATTTTTATCAAAATAAAATAATAAAATATTACATACAAATTTTGAAGTGATGGATATGCAAATGAAAAATATCAATAGATTGTTATAATTTAAAAAAACTCCATCTTTAATATATAATTAAAAAACGGTCATTGATTGCGTTAAGATAGATGAAAAAAATTGATCTTTATTATATACAATTACCATTTTCATTTTTATTTTCTATAATATTGATATTTTTATTTGATGTAATTAAAAAAAATGGTCAAATAACTAAAAAAGTAAAAGTTATTTTTATTAAGATAAATAATCGAAAATTCAATATTTTATAGATGGTCATTATAAATTATCTCATGAAGGAAGAACATGGGTTACATTTAGTGGGATTAAAAATTTATTGAATATTATGGTATTTGTCTCATCATTTCAACAATTGGTTCTTCCTATAAAAATAACACAACATGTGATGACATTGTAAAACTCATTAACTATATATAAATTGATTG